GCAGCAGCTCTGGAAAAAAATGGGAACAACAGGAGGAAGGGAATGCTGAGCAGCTGGAATAACCCCAAGGAAGTCAGCCCTGGTGTGAGCTGAGTGCTAACCCCAGCTGCAAAGTGAAATTGGGGTCTCCTCGAGGCAGGTCTCACGAGCTCTTGGAGATTTATTTTACACCTAAGATAGCTCAGCTGCCTTAGAAGGTATAAAATCAGCAGGATGGCTTCTGTGGTAGTGTTAGAAACACAAAGGTTTTAATAAAAGGCAAAATAACAAAAGTCTTTACAAAGAAAAACCAAGCCAAGTGCAAGAAGTCTTTGCCCCTGGTAAAACACCCCACAAAAGTCATTTGTTTCTTTGTTCTCTTCTTTTTCTAGGAAATTTTAGCTTCTGTCCAATTGGCTATCCTTAAGTTTAAAGTGAAGTCCCTCAAGCCCTATGAGATGTCTTTTCACCTAATTAAAGAGAAAAACTTCTAAGCTTACTTCCTTTTTGAAAGAACAAAGGATAATTTTGTCACTGTCAACAAGAGATGTTCCCATACCAAACACATCCAGGTTCTTGCTCCTCCTGGTGACATTCCAGGATGGCTTTCCAGCTGAGAAAATTCCTTTTATTCCCCTCATCCCTCAATTTCCCCACATTCCAAAGAGGAAAGAATTGGTTTTTAGGGCTGGTTTTTATGCTTGACCTCACAATTCCGAGAGACACCAGCCCCAAACCCTCCCACAGAGCCAAAAGCACCAATTCCCACCCAAATCCCCCTCCCCAGGTCACCACCGTGCCCAGGTGGGTCTGAGCTGCCAGCACAACCAGGGAATTCCATGAAATTAAATCAAAGTCTGTTTTATCCAAGAATTGCCTGAGAAACACAAAACCCTCCCCTTCTCACAGCTGATTTTGAACACACATCTCCCTTAATTCTCCACGAGGAGCCTCCAGCTCCTCATTCCACCCTGAATTCCCAGCACATCCCACTCTGCATGGAAGCAGACCCCGCTCCCTGGCATCCCTCATCCCTGCAGTGCTTTAGAAAGTTCATTTCCACACCCACATCCCACCCAGAGATCCCAGGAGGCACCAAAAGCACGGCACGATCCCACAAAAAGCAAGGAACCGCTCCAAAACTCCACAGGATGGTTCCAAAAATCGGATTTTGGGCATTCTGGAGCCTGGGATCCCAGCAGGGGGGAGCTGCTCAGTACCTGTTGCAGAAATAAACGGCGTTGGCTGGGTTTAACTCGATGGCTTTTCCATAAAATGACACGGCAGCCTCGAAGTTTTCTGCCTTCATTTGGTCGTTTCCTGAAAGGAGGGAGGGAAATGATGGTGAGGGAAGGGGAAAAAAACTGGGATAAACCAAAGGAAAGGCCTGGATCCATGGGAATAGCACAGGGGAGAGGTTTGTAAGAGTGGGGAAGGGCCAGCAGCGAGGCTGTGCTGGAAATTCCACCATTCCTGACCCTGCATCCCAAAAACCACCCCAGGTGCTGGCTCAGGGGGGAAGTGCTGCATCCACACTCATCCCACTTTTCCCAGGAAAAAGCCATGCACAGAGCAGGAAGGATGGATGCTCTGCTCCACACCCCACAGGATTTTTGGGATAAAAATCTCACTGATCCAACGTTCCTGCCAGCAAAACCTCTCCACACTCCTACAGCCCAAACAGAGCAAGAGGCAGAAATAGAAAACATTCCCTTTTTTTTCTTCCAATTCCAGGTGCCAGGGAATTGAGATCCCCTCCCAATTAGCACCAAACCCTCGTTATCCAGCAGCTCCAGGGGTTGGTACCTTCAGTCTTGAGTCTTTCAGCTTCAGCCACGTCATCTTCTGAGGGGGTGACGGGCTCCGAGTTCGTCCTGGAGTGTTCCAGCTCCTTCCAAGGAGAGGCAGAAGCTCAGCTGAGCATTCCCACAATTCCCATTTTTCCAGCCCAAAACGTTCCCCTCCCACACTCTGAGGGGAGCAGCAGCCTCCTGGTAAATCCAGCAGAACTCAGGGAAAAGGGAACATCCCAGGGCACTCACTCACCTTCCCTGCCACGGCTTCAAATATTTCGGGAAGGGTCTGGGACACAGCCAGGCTTTGGTCTTCCATGGAGACCCCAAACGCTGTTTCCAGGCACTGGATGGCCACTGGATAAGCAGAGTCAGGTCATTAATTAATAAATATTCATCCCTCTCCCTCATCTCTCAAAAAAAACAGGAAAAAATCCCAACATTTTCCCCACACCGGATGGGATTTTTGGGCTGTATCTTCAGATTTTGCCAAAATTCAGAGCTGGGCAAGGCTTCCCTCTGGATATCCTGGATGGAGCCAGTCCCAGTTCCCACCCCCTGAGGGATTCCTGGGGCTGGAATTGAATCAGGCTGGGGCTGCAGCAGCATTCCCACAGCTGGGAATGTGGGAATGGCCCAGAATTCCAAGGACAGACCCAAACATTCCCCTCTCTCTGGGAACCCTGAGCCACCTCCTCCCTCCTCAGGCTTGGGAAGCTGCTCCCAGGGAAAGCAGAGCCTCCCAGAGCCCTCCTGCCACATTTTACATCCCAAAATATCCCATTCCCAGCAGCCATCCCCCAGCAATGTCCCCCCCACCCCACAGCCACGCTCCTTTCACCGTGACAAACCCACAAACCTTTAAGGACTAAACCTTAATCTCCTTAAAGAGACCTTTAAAGATCCCTGCCCGTTGGAAATGCCTGGAAAAACCCTGAGGGACGACATTTTGGGGAGGAGAAGAGGAGAAACAACCCCAGGAGCACAAAAAGCTTCCCTGGAGCCAGGGAATTCCCACCTCCCACCCCACGGAGCGCTCCCAGCTCTGCCTCAGCCTGGATGAGCCCTCTGAGTCTCCAAGCAGGGATCAGGGAGGCTTCTGACCCCAGGTACATCCCTGCCTCCAGCTAAGCTGCTCTTGCAAGAGATCAGAAGCCACACAAGCCACCAGCACCCCTGGATAAATCCCAAAAGGAAAAATCAACTCCAAAATTCCAGCGAGGTTCGGCACCGGGAGCAGCCCAGCCAAGCCAGGGGTAGAAAACAGGGGGGGAAAAAAAAAAAGGTGAAATTCTCCCAAATTTTGGCCTGACAGAGGCAGGTCCACCCACCTTCCAAACTCTCCTGAGCATCTGGAGACATGCTGCCGTTCTGGAGCTGGGTGTGCAGGAACTGGATGATGGAGAAGGCCAGACGCTTCTGGTCTGCCATGCTGGGAGAGAGGCTGGAGGGGCCGGGCTGCGCCGCTCCTGGCTGCCCAAAAAATCCTGCACGGACACAAACTGTGCATTGCAAGAGAAAAGGACAAAGGGGTTTGCTGCTGCTGCCCCTCAGGGAGGTGTTCACGAGGCCAGGATGGAGTTGGAGTTGGTCAGGGCTGGGTAAGGACTAAAGAACGTTCCTTATTTTCTTTAGGAATTCTCCAGGCCTGGATTCGCCCTCTGCTTGGCACAGCCCTGCCAAGGGAAGCACCCAGAGGTGCTGCAGGGGGAAATCCTGCAACCTGAGGAGCTCAGCAGGAAAAATTCCCAATTTTCTGCTCCCTGAGCACGGCTTGCTCCTGAAACCAGAGCCAAGAGCAGGAGGAATTGGGCAGCCCCTGGCAGCCAGGGCTGTCCTGGCAGGGAAAGGGAAGGGAATTTGGTAACCAGGGCTGTGCCAGGCTGTCCTGGCAGGGAAAGGAAGGGAATTTGGTAACCAGGGCTGTGCCAGGCTGTCCTGGCAGGAAAAGGGAAGGGAATTTGGTAACCAGGGCTGTGCCAGGCTGTCCTGGCAGGGAAAAGGAAGGGAATTTGGTAACCAGGGCTGTGCCAGGCTGTCCTGGCAGGAAAAGGGAAGGGAATTTGGTAACCAGGGCTGTGCCAGGCTGTCCTGGCAGGGAAAAGAGAAGGGAATTTGGTAACCAGGGCTGTGCCAGGCTGTCCTGGCAGGGAAAGGGAAGGGAATTTGGCAGCCAGGGCTGTGCCAGGCTGTCCTGGCAGGGAAAAGAGAAGGGAATTTGGCAGCCAGAGCTGTACCAGGCTGTCCTGGCAGGGAAAGGAAGGGAATTTGGCAGCCAGGGCTGTGCCAGGCTGTCCTGGCAGGGAAAGGGAAGGGAATCCCAAAGCACGGAGACCCCGCAGCCCGAGGCTGGCAACTCCAGCGATCCCAGGGCAGCTCCCGGGGGAACGCGGCTGCGGCTCCGCGGGCTTTAACTGGGTTTGTAGCACACCGAGGCTCCTTGAACCGAGACACGAGCTCCGTTTAACGCGAGCGCACCGGAGCGGCACCGGGCCCGCCCGGCTCCCGTTCCCCGGGAGCCCCCGGACCGCGCCGGGCGGAGAGGAGAAGGCACGGCTCCCCGGTGCCCCCGCCGCGCTGCCCAGAGCCCCGCGAGCACCGCCCGGACCCCGCCCCGGTGGAGGCAACCGGGGACCCCCGGCCGGGGATCCGCCGGGTCCCGGTGCGCTCACCGGCACCGGAGCGGGTGACTCCCGGGCCTGGCACCGGCAGGAGCGCAGACACAGAAGTCCCAACGCGGGGCACAGCCCGCTCCCGGTACGTCCCGTCCCGTCCGGTCCCGCCCCCCAGGCCCCGGTGCACCCGGTACCCTCCGGTGCCGCTGTCCCCAGGCGGAGCAGAACCGCGGCTGACCAGCGGGCAGCACGGCCCGGCACCAGCGGGTCCCGAGGCGGAAGGGTCCCGGCGGGGCCCTGGTCCCGGCGTCCCCCGTCCCGGTCCCGGTGCCCCCGGTCCCCCCGCGCTCACCGGACACTCGCCTGGGCCGGGCGCGCTCCCGCACTGCGCATGCGCCGCGCCCGCCGCGCGCCGGCGCCGCTGCGGCCCCGCCCCTTCCAGCAGATCAAGAATGGGCGTGGCCTACGACGGAAGCTCCGCCCCCACCGGTACCATAGAGATGTGGCGTTGTCACGGCAACGCGCGGGGGCGTTGCCATGGGAACGGGCGGGCGGGTCCCGGGGATGCTCCGCGCCCGCCCCGGGGCCGCTCCCGGCCGGCTCTGAGGGTCGCGGCCGGGATGAGCCGCCCCCGCTGCCTGGCCCCGCTGCGGGAGCGGCCCGGTCCTCCAGGCTCCCAGCATGCCCCGCTCTCCCGCCCGCCTCTCCGGTCGGGGCACATGCTCGGTGCGTGGGGCCGGCCCGGTTTCCTCCCGGCCTCGTCAGCAGCGCGGGGCCTCCCGGTACCCCCGGCACCGCCGACATGGCCCCCCCGACAGGTACCGGCGGGATGGGGCACACGGGGAGCGCGGGGACACCGGGGAGAGGGCGGGGGCGGAGCGGCGGAGGGGAGAGGGATGGGGGGCGGCAGGACGGGGCCGGGGTCACCCCCTCAGGCCTGCCGGGGTCACCTCTGTGCCCCGCGGGGCAGCGCACGGCCGTGTCCCCGAGCAGGGCACAGCCTTGGCAGCTGGCGGGGCACGGGGTCGGGTTTCGGTGAAGCGTTTATCGGCACCGGGAGGGCGAGGCGCTCCCGGGGGGTGATCCCAGCGCTCGGGCTCGCTCCAGGCCCTCCCTGGAATGCTGTCCCCGCCGCTGTCCCTTAGGGAATGTCGTGGACAGCCAGGCCCCGCGGCCCCTGGGCTGCCAGCTGCGCTGGGACCTGACGGCCGAGCAGATCGAGGCCATGGCCGCCGAGCTCACCGAGAGCACCAAGCTCGTCTACGACCGCGTGGGAGCCCAGGAGCGCGGGGAGGTCTCCTACGAGAACACGCTGAAGGCTCTGGCGGACGTGGAGGTGGAATACACAGGTGGGGAAGGGCCAGGGGTGGGATACAGGAATACAGAGGTGGGGAAGGGCCAGGGGTGGGATACAGGAATACAGAGGTGGGGAAGGGCATAGAGGTGGAATACACAGCTGGGGACAGATGTGGAGGTGGGATACACGGGTGGGGACAGATGTGGAGGTGGAATACACGGGGGTGGGGATAGGCGTGGAGGTGGAATACAGGAATACAGAGGTGGGGATGTGGAGGTGTAATACACAGCTGGAGGTGGAATACAGAGGTGGGGACAGATTGCTGTCACCTGCTTTTCTCTCCCCGTGGCTGCCAGCAGAATGTTGGTTTTATTCCCAGTTAATGTTTATACAGCGAGGAACCAGCACAAAGAGCAGATTTGGAAAAGCAAATTAACCCAAGGGCAGCCCTGTGGCAGCAGGAGCAGCCGTGTTCCCAAGGCTGTCCTGGCTTTCATGTGTCACCAGTGGGAACAAACACAGAAAAGATCCAAGAAACTCTCACCTCCTTCCTCAGTTTTCCCTGGGGCAGTGGGCAAATGTCTCTCCATGTGCCTTGTTTCCTGCTGGGATTTTTTGGGAGAGTCAATCCACTGTGATTTTTTTTTTTTTGGGAGTCAGTCCTGCTGGGATTTTTTGGTAGAGTCAATCCTGCTGGGATTTTTTGGGAGAATAAATCCTGCTTGGATTTTTTGGAAGAGTAAATCCTGCTGGGATTTTTTGGGAGAGTAAATCCTGCTGGGATTTTTTTGGGAGAGTCAATCTTGTTGGGATTTTTTTTGGAGAATAAATCCTGCTGTGAGTTTTTTGGGGGAGTAAATCCTGCTGTGATTTTTTGGAAGAGTCAGTCCTGCCGTGATTATTTTTTTTTTTTTGAGAATAAATCCCCTTGGGATTTTTTTGGGGGAGTACCACGACGTGATGGCACCAAAGCTGTGCAGTTCTGATGGCTTTCTGGATGATTATTTGCAGCAGGGTGACAATTCAGGTGGCCCCTCCTCGTGGCACCTGGGCTGCTGCCTGTGCTCGAGCTGTCCCACCTGTCTGGGGCAGGGAGCAGCCTCATCTTCCTCCTCTCCCCCTTCTTTTTTCCTAAAATAATAGGGAAAAAATTAATTCCTCCTGCTCAGCAGGAGGAGTGTTCACCTCAGCAGGACTGTCAGCACTTCCCTGGCTGAGCTGCCTGTTCAGCTCCTCCTGGGGGGGAATCCAGGTGCCTGGAGAGCACCTGGAGTGCTGTTCCTGGAGCTCCTGCAGGGATAGCAGCAGGGAATGTTCTCCCTGTTTTCCTCCGTGGAATTGCATCAGGACAGGGCGCACCTGGAGCGTGGTGGCTTTTGGGGAAGTGTCTGTAGGAAGGGATTGTCCCACTGTGAGCTTTAAAGGAGGCAGGGAACGCTGCTGCCATCAGGAATCATGGAATTCCTCCAGCTGGAATAGAGTGTCGAGCCCTGCAGAGGACTCCCCAAACCTCCTGTGCTGCCCCAGCTGGGGCAGAGCTGTTGGGGGCTCACAGGCACAGAATTCCCATGGATTTTAGGAGGGTTATGGTGGGAATCCAGCGGGTGGATGTGCTGGGCAGCAGGGAAAGGACCAAAGAGAGCGGGAGCCGCATCCCACCCCCTCCCCTGCTGTGGGAAAGGCTCTGGGGCTGCCAGCCTGGCTCTGGGCGTGCACTGGGACGTGGAGCCATCATCCCTGTCCCTTTTTCTCCTCCCAGTCCGTAGGAACATGCTGGACTTCCCCCAGCACGTGTCCCCCTGCAAGGCCATCCGCGCCGCCAGCACCGAGGCCGACAAGAAGCTCTCAGAGTTCGACGTGGAGATGAGCATGAGGCAGGACGTGTACCAGAGGATTGTGTGGCTGCAGGTGTGTCCCCTGCCACCCAAGCAGGGGTTGGAACCCCCTGGAATTCCAGCAAATCCTTTTTCTTCATCCCAGAGTTAAAAAGGGAGGGATGCAGGAGCGGGGCAGGAGCGCGGTGTGGTCACGGCGGAGTGGTCCAGCTGTAGTGAGGGGTGGGAAATTTGGGATTGAGGGCTCTGCCCCCTACTCAGAGCCTTGGTCACACCTTTGCTGGGGGGGCTGTTGGTAAATCCAACCCACCTCAGTGGTGATGCCCCCAAAAGTGCCCCCCAAAATGCTGACATGCCACAAAGGTGAGGTGTTTAAAGCAATCTGGGAGGAGCCCCTGCCCCGAGGTGACACAGGAACCTCTGCACCAAACCAGAGCCTTCCCTGGGGCTTTTCCTTCTGCTGCTGGCTCTCTGGTGTTCCCAGAGCTCCCACTGGGAAGCAGCTTCCTGCAGCTCCCTGAGGAGCAGGGATTTTTTTGTTTTCCAGGAGAAAGCAGAGAGTGCTTCCCTGAGGCCCGAGGCAAAGAGGTACCTGGAGAGGCTGATCAAGCTGGGAAAAAGGAACGGGCTCCACCTCCCTGAGGAGACACAGGAGGTGAGAGCACAGAATCCCAGGATGGTTTGGGCTAAAGGGACCTTAAAGCCCATCTTCCACTATCCCAGGTTGCTCCAAGCTGGCCTTGGACACTTCCAGGGAAGGGGCAGCCACAGCTCCTCTGGGAAATCTGTGCCAGGGCCTCTGCACCCTCACAGGAAGGAATTTTTTCCTAATATCCCATCTAATCTTTCTTCCTGTCAGTCTGAATCCATTTCTCCTTGTCCCTGTCACAGGGAGAGGAGCCCTGGCAGGGCTCAGGGCAGGGTCTGAGGCTCAGGTTTGGGTTTTGCCCCCAGTTCTGGTGATTTGGGAGATGTCTCCAGCCCCCACTTTTTCCTTTTTGTTGAAAGGGTGATGTTAACGAAGTGGGAGTTGAGGAATTCCTGGGGAGGTGAAATTGGGGAATTAGCACCAAATCCCCACGTGCCAAGGGCTGGAGTTGGGCTGAGGGGGCTGAGCTGTTCAGGGGCCTCCCTCTCTTACCATGCACCAGCAGAGGAGCTCAAAACGGGGTTAAAACCAGAAGAAAATGTGAAATAAGGAGAGGGGAGGTTGTTAGTGCAGCACCTGCAGCTCCTGAGGCAGCAGGGAACAGGCAGGACCTTGCTGAGGCTGCTGAACCCTGCCAGGTGTGACCCCAGGGAGCCTTTCTGGGCTTTTTTTGGTGCACAATTAGTGCTGGCTCACCATCATTAATTGTGCACCTTTGTGCTGGCTCAGAGCCAAGGCCAGGCTCAGTGCTGGCAGCTCAGCAGGGTGGGGACAGCCTGAGTGCCCCCCCAGCTCTGACTTCTCTCTTTTGATTTTTGAAGAAAATCAAAGCTATCAAGAAAAAGCTGAGCGTGCTGTGCATCGACTTCAACAAGAACCTCAACGAGGACACCACCTTCCTGCCCTTCTCCAGAGAGGAATTAGGTATGGAGTGCCTGCACTGGCTGATCCCAGAGCGTTCCTGGAGAATCCTGGGCTCACCCCCAGCCCCTGCCTGCTCTTTTCCCAGGGGGGCTCCCTGAGGATTTCCTGAACTCCCTGGAGAAGACAGAGGATGGGAAGCTGAAGGTCACCCTGAAGTACCCACACTACTTCCCCCTGCTGAAGAAGTGCTACGTGCCCGAGACCAGGAGGAAGGTGGAGGAGATGTTCAACTCCAGGTGCAAAGAGGTCGGTGGGACTGACCAGGGCACGCAGGGGATCTCCCCTGGGATTTGTGTTTCTTTCCACACTTCTCCTCTGTGTTCTCTCTGCCTTGCAGGAGAACTGCCTGATCCTGAAGGAGCTGGTGGACCTGAGGGCTCAGAAGGCCAATCTGCTGGGCTTCAGCACCCACGCTGACTTTGTGCTGGAGATGAACATGGCCAAGAGCAGCCGGACGGTGGCCACGTTCCTGGGTACGTCCTGGGGCCGAGCAGGGCCGTCCTGGGCTGGGTGTGCTGCTCTGATCCCTGATCCCAACCCTGCCTGGCTTCCCCAGATGAGCTGGCCCAGAAGCTGAAGCCCCTGGGGGAGAAGGAGAGGGCAGTGATCCTGGACCTGAAGAAGAAGGAGTGCGAGAAGCGCGGGCTGGAGTTCGACAACCGCATCAACGCCTGGGACATGCGCTACTACATGAACCAGGTGGAGGAGACCAAGTACAGCGTGGACCAGAACCTGCTCAAGGAGTATTTCCCCATGCAGGTGGTCACCACAGGCCTCCTGGCCATCTACCAGGAGCTGCTGGGCCTCACCTTCCACCTGGAGGAGAAGGCTCAGGTGTGGCACGAGGACGTGCAGCTCTACACGGTGAAGGACGCGTCCTCCGGGGAGACCATCGGGAAGTTCTACCTGGATCTGTACCCACGGTGAGGCCTGGGAAATCCAGGAGCAGGGCTGGGGCAGGGGTGCAGAGCCTGAGGAGGAGGAGGAGGAGGAGGAGGAGGAGATTCCTGCTCCCAGCTGTGTGGAGTGGAGGAAGCGCCATGTGCTGGGGCAGGGATGTCATTGAGGGGTCACCAGGGGGGTCACTGGGGGCTCCTCTGAGGATCACAGTGGGGGAGGCCGGCTCCCTGCAGGGTCCCTGGGCTCCCTGCACTGTCCCTGTGCTCCCTGCACTGTCCCTGGGCTCCCTGCAGGGTCCCTGTGCTCCCTGCAAGGTCCCTGGGCTCCCTGCAGGGTCTCTGGGCTCCCTGCAGGATCCCTGTCCTTCCTCTGGCTGCTCTGTCCTCCCTCCACCCTCTCCATCCTCCTTCCAGCTCCACTGTCCTCCCTCCATCTCCCCTCATCCCTCCCTCCATATCCCCTTGCCCTCCCTCCCTCTATCTCCCCTTGCCCTCTCTCCATCTCTCCCATCCTCCCTCCATCTCCCCTCCTCCCTCCATCTCCCCTTATCCCCTCCTCCCTCCATCTCTCCCATCCTCCCTCCATCTCCCCTCACTCCCCTCCATCTCCCCTCATCCTCCCGCAGCCCCTCTCACACAGCACAGCCCAGGGCCCAGATATCCGAGGGCGCCGCGTGTCCCCTGCGGTCCAGCACCTCCGGGGCCAGGTAACCGGGTGTCCCACAGAGTGCCCTGCGTGGGGGACAGCCGAAGTGACCCCCGGGGACACGGGCAGGGCCAGTCCCCCTCCCTGCAGCCCCCGCTCACCCCCAGCGCCGCCCGGGCGGCGCCGCCCGCTGCGCCAGCCCCAGGTCCCCGATCTTCACCCGCATCCGCTCCGTCACCAAGAAGTTACCTGTGGAGGGAGGGACGCGAATGATGTCACCCTCGGCCACCCTGGGGTCACCCCCGGGTCCCCCCCAGCCCCACGCACTCAGTTTGAGGTCGCGGTGCACGAGGCCGTGGCCGTGCAGGTACTGCAGCCCCGAGAGCAGCTGCCGCAGGTAGTACCGGAGCTCCGGCTCCGTCAGGCGGCCCCGAGCCCGCAGGATGTCGGCGAGGGACTGGGGACAGAGCGACAGCGGCTGGGGACAGCGAGGAGGGACTGGGGACAATGGGGGATGCAGTGACAGGGGCTGGGGACAGCGAGGAGGGACTGGGGACAATGGGGGATGCAGTGACAGGGGCTGGGGACAGAGTGAGGCACCAGGCTGGGCCCTGCTGAAGCCTCGGCCTGAGGGTGCTCAGTTTGGGGGTTCAGGGGCTCCATTTCAGGGTTCAGGGGCTCAGTTTTGGGGTTCAGGGGCTCAGTTTTGGAGTGTTTAGGCTCAGTTTTGGGGGGACAGAGCGACAGCGGCTGGGGACAGCGAGGAGGGACTGGGGACAATGGGGGATGCAGTGACAGGGGCTGGGGACAGCGAGGAGGGACTGGGGACAATGGGGGATGCAGTGACAGGGGCTGGGGACAGAGCGACAGCGTCTGGGGACAGCGAGGAGGGACTGGGGACAATGGGGGATGCAGTGACAGGGGCTGGGGACAGAGTGAGGCACCAGGCTGGGCCCTGCTGAAGCCTCGGCCTGAGGGTGCTCAGTTTGGGGGTTCAGGGGCTCCATTTCAGGGTTCAGGGGCTCAGTTTCGGGGTTCAGGGTCTCCGTTTCAGGGTTCAGGGGCTCAGTTTTGGAGTGTTTAGGCTCAGTTTTGGGGTTCAGGGGCTCAGTTTTGGAGTGTTTAGGCTCAGTTTTGGGTTCAGGGGCTCAGTTTTGGAGTGTTTAGGATCAGTTTTGGGGTTTAGGGGCTCAGTTTCGGGGTTCAAGGGCTCGGTTTGGAGGTGTAGGGGCTCAGTTTTGGGGTGCAGAATTTCAGGGTTCAAGGGCTCGGTTTGGGGTTGTAGGGGCTCGGTTTGGGGGTGTAGGGGCTCAATTTTGGGGTGCATTATTTCAGGGTTCAAGGGCTCAGTTTCGGGGTTCAAGGGCTCGGTTTCAGGGTTCAAGGGGACGGTTTCGGGGTTCAAGGGCTCGGTTTCGGGGTGCAGAGCTCACCCCCCGGCTGCAGAGCTCCAGCAGCAGGCAGAGGTGGCCGCGGTCGGCGAAGTGCCCGTGCAGGCGCACGATGTGCCGGTGGCGCAGGTGACACTGCAGCTCCCGCTCCCGCTCCACCTGCACCGACAGCAACCCCGGGGGGACCCTCGGGGACCGGGGACCCCCGGCACGCACCCCGCGGGGACGGGAACCCACCCAGACACCCGGGGACCCCACGGGCACTGTCCCCTCTCCCCGGGGAGTGTCCCCCCGGACTCACCCTGTCCCCGATGCCCGGGGCAGCGAGCCGGGCTCGCGGGATGACCTTCGCCGCGTAGAGCCGGCCGCTGGTCACCTCTGTCACCTGGTAGCAGCGGCCGAAGGCGCCCTGCGAGTGACCCCGTGGGAACGGACACCGGGGGTTGGGGTGCCCACCCAGCTGCCCCTCCCTGTGGGGCGACCGCAGCTGCTGGGGCTCAGTCCCGTGCCTCAGTTTCCCCTTCTCCAGAGAGGATGGGGTGGATCCCCCTTGGATCGGCACACCTCGGGGATCCCCCGGGGGGTGCGGGCGTGTTACCCCCCGCTGGGTGCCCAGCGGGGAGGGGGCGCTGGGGGGGCGAGGGGCAGTTCAGGGGGGGCAGTTCGGGGGGTTTACCTCTCCCAGGAGCCGTCCCCGCCTGTAGAGCGCCCCGCTGCCCTCGTCGCGGAGGTACCAGCCGGGGTGGGGGGGCTCAGCCCCTGCGCTCCCCGGGACCATCCTGCCCGCTCTGCTCGGCACCGGGGACACCCCGAGGGACACCCGCACCCCGGCACTGTAACCCCTTCAGCTCCGGGCTGCGGGTATTCATGGCGCCCAGGGGTGCTGGGTGCCCCCCCCGCACCCAACACCCACCGCTCTGCCCCCCCGAGCCCCCTCAGAAGACCCCGACTGCGAAGCGGAGACCCCCGCGGGGGTCCCGGCCCTCGGGGATGCCCAGCACCGGGGGGTCCCGGATCGGTATCCGGCCGCGCAGGGAGGTCCTGCTGCCTCTTCCCCTCCGCCGCTGGGGCTGAGGGGATCCCGGGGGGGCGCTGATGTTGCTTTGCAGCACCCGAGCCCCCCCAGGACGCCACCATCCTCCCCCCCCGACCGCCGGCTCTCCGGGCCCCCAAGGGTTAACGGGCGGCCGGGGAGGGCTGGGCGCACCTTTGGGGCTGGATATTAATAACGCGGCGGGGAGGGACGGGAGGCGAACGGGGAGGGTGGGGGGGGGGAAGCCTCCCCCGGCCCCCCCGGAGCTGCGCGGGCGATGCCCCCCCGCCCCCCCCCTCCCTCCGGAACTCCTGCGGGGAAACTGAGGCACGCGGTGCCCCCCGCGCTGCCAGCGGGGTCTGGGCATCACCCACCCGGCATCGCCCGAGCCTCGGTGGGGTTCGGACGCTCCAAATACCCCCCCCCGGAGCGGCGGCAGCGCGACCCCCAAGCCCTTCCCCTGTCCTGCTGGGGGGACCCAGAGCCGGGCGCTGCCGGTGGCCACCCGCGATCCCCCGGTCGCCGTGGGAGCCGCGCGGCGGGACGGGACCAGCTCGGCCGGGGGATTCCCCGACACGGGAACGGGACCCCGGCACTCCCCGCACCCCCCGCACCCCCCCGGCACCTCCCTCACCGCCGGGCTGGGCGCTTTGGGGTGCTGCAGGATCGGGCGCTGTGGGGGCCTCCCGCTGCCCCCCACCCTGCTCGCCCCACGGAGGGGCCGGATCCGGATCGGGGAGCGACGCGGAGCCCCGGCGTGCAGGTCTGGTCCTGCCCCGGCAGGCAGCGATCCCGGCCCGGCGCCCGCCGCGGGGCCCTGGGGGCGGCGGGGCCGTCGCCCGTCCCGGGGCTGCGTGGGCACGTGTGGGGGACACGGCGTCACCCACGCTATGTCACTACCCTGTGTCACCAGCCAGCATCGCCTATGGCGTGTCCCCCACCCGCCTGGGTGGCACCAGACCCCGCATCCCCTCCCTGGGGACCCTCGCGCTGGGTCTGGGCTTGGCCCCCGCCTCACTCCCGTGCCCCTCGCTGGGGTCCCCGAGGGGGCTCGGCGGTGGCCCCGCCTCGGCAGCGATGCTGGGCTGGGGGACAGCTCGGTGCCACCCTCCTGTCCCTGGGGATGGCTCAGGGCTCTGCTCCGCAGGTCCTGGCGGCTGCTGCTGCTGGCCTGGCTCAGCCTGGTGGGCACGGCACAGGTGAGGGGGCTGGGGGCAGCTGGGGGGGCTGGGGCCCCCCCGGGCTCTTTCATCCCACCCCCAGCGCTGACCATCACCTTCCTCATGCAGGACCCAGCCCTGGGGACACCAGCGAGGGTCCCCGAGCCCCCGGCCCCTGCTCGGCCCCAGGGGACCTGGGGGTCCTGGGGACCCTGGAGCTCCTGCTCCAGCTCGTGCGGGGACGGCGTCGCCCTGCGCAGCCGGAGGTGCCTGAGGTCAGTGGGGGATGGGCAGCACAGACCCCCCCCCACCCCAGGGTGTCCCCAGCTCCCAAACCCCATGTGGCACCCAAATCCCACGGCACAGCCTTGTCACCGCCTCGTGTGCCCCTGGGCCAGCAGCAGCACCCAAGGCCTGGTGCCACCAGGCAGCACCACCCCTGTGGTGGCTCGGTGGCATTGTGGCCCTGCAGCTGTGGGGGACACGTGCTGTCATTGTCACCGCAGGACCAGCGAGGAGCAGCCGTGCACGGGGGACCCGCGGCAGTACCGGCTCTGCCAGCTCCAGGTGAGTGCCAGGAGCGCCACGGCACCGACGGGGCTGTCCCCGCTCCCCATGGCGGCCCCCCGGCTCCATCCCGGTGCTCCCACAGGGCTGCCCCAGCGGCTCCGTGCCCTTTCGGGCCATGCAGTGCTCCCTTTACGACAACCGGCCCGTCCTGGGCACCTCCGCCCGCTACCGCTGGGTGCCCTTCCACGGAGGTGAGTCCCGGCGTGGTGACAGCATCACCGGGGGCTCACGGCTGTCCCCGGCATCACCCCAATCCCCTCTCGCCCTGCTCTGGCAGCCCCCAACCTCTGCGACCTCAACTGCCTGGCCGAGGGGCACAATTTCTACTACAGCTTCGGCCGGGTGCTGGACGGCACCCGCTGCAGCCCCGGCTCCCCGGACCTGTGCGTCGGCGGGCGCTGCCTGGTGGGTGTGCGCAGGGCCGGGACCCCCCCAGAACCCCCGGGACCCCCAGACCCCGCGCTGAGGGGGTGTCTGGGCTCCCCACAGAGCGTGGGCTGTGACGGGATCCTGGGCTCGGGCTCGCGCCCCGACGCCTGCGGCCTCTGCGGCAGCGGCCACGGCTCGTGCGTCCTGGTGCACCGGCTCTTCCAGGGCTCGGACCCCTCCTCCGGTGAATGAACCATTGCCCCGGCCCCCTCCATGGGTGAATGCTTTGGCTCTTGGCTCCCCTGTCCTCCTGTCCCCATCCGTGTCCCCGAGGCATCGCCTGGGTGCCCTGCTGTCACATCCCCTCTCCCTGTCCCCCATCCAGAGGGTCGCTGTCTCTGGTCCCTCCCTGTCCCCAACACGCAGGGACAGGGGCTCGGAGCAGCCCCTTTGCTTGGGGAGATGAACTCATTGCAAAGGGGTCACTCCTGGGGTGTGGGGGGGTCTCTTATGTCCCCAGGGGTGCTGGGGGCACTCAGAGTCCCCGTGCCCACATGTCTCTGATGTCCCAGCACATTGGGCCCCCCACTGACATTGGGTCAATGCCCCAGCCCCGGGTCCCCTCTGTGCCCATCCCCTCCCTCTCTGTCCCCCTGTGGTGCCCCCTGGGCCCTGTCCAGGCTCTGCCCTGACTCTGCCCCCTCTCCCTCCCACAGGATATTTGGGATATGTGAATGTGACCAAGATCCCGGCCGGGGCCACCCACATCAAGGTGACGGACAAGAGCCGCAACTACCTGGGTAGGACCCGAACTTCCCCCATCCCAGTCAGTCCCAGTCCCTCCCAGTTGGCCCAGGCTGGTGCCAGCTGCGTGTGCGGGCAGGCCAGGGCAGGGCAGGGCTGGGGTGGCTGTGTCACGCCGTGCTGTCCCATGTTTGTCCCATGTTTGTCCCTTGTCGTGCCGTGCCGCTCCCTCCCTCGGATGCTGTTTTGAGCATCGCGGGGTCACTGAACTCGCAAGCGCTCGGGGCAATTTTCCAGAGGCCGCGGCCGCGATTTGGGAAGGGCTGAGCTGGACCGGGGCCAGAGCGGCCACTGCAGCACCGGGACCTCCACCCCCACCCCCGTCCCCTTTCCCGTGCAGCTGGAGCCCCTTCCCCCATCCCAGCCGGGATTTGGGGGCTCGGGGCTGGCTTTGCACACCCCAGGCTTTGGCTGCGGCTCGGGCCCCAAGCCAAGATCCCGCAGGAACGCGGATTCCCGGAGCCCCGAGCGCGGCTCCCCGGCCCACGCTGCCCTCCCACGCCGGGAGAGGCCTCCGGTGGGGACCCGGCCGGGGGTCCCGGGGGCCGTGCGGGGCTCGGTTTACCGGAGCCCTCCCTCCCGCAGCGCTGATGGCGAGTGACGGGCGCTACGTCCTCAACGGCGACTGGGCCATCGCCTGGCCGGGGCCCTACGAGGCTGCCGGCACCCTCCTGACCTACAGCCGGGCCCCCGACGGCACCGAGAGCCTGGAGGCGCCCGGACCCACCCACGAGGACCTGCACGTGATGGTGGGGACAGGGGGACGCTGGGCTGGGGACAGCCACCCCCGCTGCCACCGCCCCTGCCAGCCCCGCTCGTGTCCCCCCAGGCGCTGCTGCAGGAGCCCAACCCCGGCATCGAGTACCAGTTCTGGCTGCCCCGCGGGCACCCCCAGCTCGGCCGCGGTGACACGAGCCCCCTGCGGCAGCCGCAGCCCCGGGGGGCCGGCAGCCCCCCGCCCCCGGAGCCCCCGCACACCCCGGCCCCCCCGCAGCCCCCCCGGCCCGGGGGCTTCGCCACGGAGCCACCGCCGAGGATCCCCCCCGGGCAGAGCCAGGACGGGGCTGCCGCAGGTACATCCTCGGGGGTCCCCACAGCCCCCCTGCTGGGAGCATCCTGGGCTGCCAAGGTCGGGGAATAAGATGGGGACCCTAAAAGAGCAGCGGGGGGGGTGGGGGGGGTGGGGGGGGGGGGCGCAGAGCTGAGCCCAGCTGGTGCCAGTAAATTCTGAGTGACTCCAGGTGCTCCGGGCTGGTTTGAGCTGCAGAGGTGCCTCCACCCTATAAAAATGCTCCCTCCCACCGCCACCCCACGGTTAATGTGGGGCTGCTGAGGCCAGCTGGTGCCAGTAAATTCTGAGTGACTCCAGGTGCTCCGGGCTGGTTTGAGCTGCAGAGGTGCCTCCACCCTATAAAAATGCTCCCTCCCACCGCCACCCCACGGTTAATGTGGGGCTGCTGAGGGCAGGGGGGTTTGTCCCTGCCGGGGTCCCAGCCATGGCGGGTCTGGGGGCCACCCCACGCACGAAAAAACCCCCCAGGGAGGACCAGGGGCTCTCGACCCCGAGGGCTGCGGCTCGTGGTCGCGCCGAGAGCCGGCAGAGAGAGGGGGAGCACGTCCCGCGGGGGTGGGCGAGGGTCCCCAGCTCCCCCACCACGCCCGGGAAGGGGCGCCTGGTCCGGCGGGGCCCCGAGGGGAGTCCCGGCCCCGGGGAAAGCGGTGAGCGCACCCCTGCCCGGGGAGATCCCTGCGCGGGGCAGGGGGGCTGCTCTGGCCGTGCTGACGGGACCCCTCTGCCCCACAGACCCTGCGAGACCCCCAGCACCGCCCTGCCCTGGGGGCTCCTTCTTCTCGGGGCTCCCCGAGGTGGAGCATCAGGACCCTGCTGTCCCTGCAGCCCCCAGCCTGTGAGTGTGAAGGGGGTCCCCACAGCCCCCCAATACGTGGGGGGGGGTCCAACAGCCCCCCCAGCAGTGCTGACCCTCTGCCTTCCCCCTCCAGGCCGAGCCCCGGGGCCCTGACCCCTGTGAGGGGCAGGGGCCGGAGGAAGCTGCAGCACACCCTGGTCCTGGAGCTGGTGAGCTGGGGGGGGTCTGGGGGGCTCTGCAGGGGCTGGGGCTGACCCTGACCCTGTTCCCTGTCCCCAGGATGGGACCCTGCTCTACTCCTCCCTGCTCTCCCACGGGCAGAAGGATGCCACGGCCACCTTCACCACGGACTTCCAGGCGAGTTCCTACAAGGTGGGTGTTGAGGCTGGGGGGGCTTGGGGAGCTGTGATTTGGGGCCATGGATGAGGTGGCTCTTCACTGCCACCCCATGTGGCCTCTGTGCCAATGTCCCCTGTAGCTGAAGGGGCTCTGAAATCCCGTGGGTGAGGGGCTGAGGGATCCTGCTGAGGGCGCTGAACCCCCCCGGGGCTCCCCTTGCTGTCAGGATGGGGGTGCTGGAGGTTTTCCAAGATGCTGTTCCCTCCCAGGTCCACGTGAAGCTGCGTCCACACGTGCAGGAGTTCTTGGAGAGCCTTTCCAAGACCTACGAGGTACCCAGAGCCCCTGGGGTGTGTGGGGTGACCCCTGGGGGGGGGCTTGAGCAGCTCATGCAGAGACCTTCACCCTCTCTCTGCCAGATCTTCATCTACACCACGGCCAAGAAGGACTATGCCAAGAAGCTCCTGGAGGTGCTGGACCCCAAGAAGAAGCTGATCAGGTGATGGTGCTGGCAGTGCCCTGCTGGGGACCCCCTGTGTGCCAGGGCGGGGTCCCCACGGCTCTGTCTCTCTGCCAGGCGCTGCTTCTCCCAGTCGGATTGTGTCTGCTCCCAGGGCTGCTACTGGAAGGACCTGACCCACCTGGGCAGGGACCTGGCCAGGACGGTGGCCCTGGACCACACCATGCAGGGCTTCCCTGCCCAGGTAGGGCAGCGCTGCTCTCGGGGGGATTCACGTGTCCCGAATGAGACAAGGATGTCCAACCTCCTCCCTGTCCCCCCCGCAGGCTGCCAACTGGATCCAGGTGCCACCGTGGGCTGGGGACCCTGAGGATGAGGAGCTGCTGCGCCTCATCCCGGTGCTGGGCCAGCTGGGCCAGGCGGTAGGACCTGGGGACGGGAAGGGAACGTGGGGATGGGGACGGGAAGGGGGATGTGGAGATAGCAATGGGAAGGGGATTTGGGGATGGGGACAGGAAGGGGGATGTGAGGATGGGAAGGGGACAGGAAGGGGGACGTGGGGACAGGTGCCCTGGCACACAGCCCTTCCCTGCCCCGTCTCTCCCTTGCAGGAGGATGTTCGCCCTGAGATCCAGCGGCGATTCCAGCCCTGCCATCTGCCCGCTGAGGATTAGGCCAGCCTGGAGGAGCAGGATGGGGAAGGCCTGGGGAAGCTGTGCTCGGGGGCAGCCAGAGCCTCACCCTACGGGCCTGGGCTGGATGGCTGTGCCAGGACTCTCCCTTGGTGTTTGCAGGGATGCCGGCTCATCCCTGGGGGCGGGGGGTGCCCCTCGAGGAGAGCCCCTGCCTTTGGAGACAAAGCTCCATCCTGGCTCCCTCCTCCCCGTGCTCTGTAAGGTCCAGCCAAGGTTTTCACGGGTCATTATAAGCTTGGAAAAAAGTTTGGCTCTGCCTTAATTCCCAGAACTCTTCAGCTGAGCAAACACACAGTGCTGGGGCAGGGGCACACACAAACCACCTCCCCAGTGTCCTGGGGCAGTCCAGGGTCCTGGCACGGGGCCGGTGTCCCCGGGAGGGCCCCAGCTGGCAGCTCTCCCTGTCCCATCCGTGCCCGGTGCCACGGGTGCCGTGTGCCGGGGCACAGCTGCCCCTGTGCCTCTGCCAGCCCCCGTGGACTGGGTGGCCACCCTGGGGCTCTTTTTTAAGGCCTAAAGCTGCTGGTGAACAGGAACTGGGGACTCTGGAGGGCTTCTGGGCTGGCCTCTGCTCTGCTGGAAGCCACATGAGCTGGTGGCCGAGCTCCTGCTGTGGCCACACGGGTGCAGCTGTTTGGGGACAGTCACATCTCGTCCCTCTGTGCCTGGGAAAGGGCACAGGGCTGCGGCCCCTCCGGGAACGGCTCTGTCCCCAGGGGTGTGGGAGGGCCACCACCCCTGTCCCCCCGCACAGCTGGACAGGGGTGGGAGCATCCCAGGCACTGCTGGGAGGGGAATCACCCTTGGAGGGGGCGGCTGGAAAGACAACAACTGGTTTATTTCGGGTGGCAGGCACGATCCCTGCTCTGTCCCTGCGGCAGCCCAGGCTGGTGTCACTCTGTCCTCCTGACCCGGGGACAGCACGGAGCTGCTTTGCCAACACGGAAAGCCACGCGGTAGGTGGGGTACAGCACCCCTGCCAGGAGCAGGCTGCTGCAGGCGACGACAGTGACAACCACCAGGTGCCTGTGCAGCCCTGCCGGGCTGGGGGAGTCCTCTGCGGGCTGCTGGCACGTGTGGGTGACGTCCTGGAAGGTGTGGCCGGAGGGACAGGACGTGCAGTTGTTGGCCGAGGAGCCCTGGCAGGTGTAGCAGGAGGGGTGGCAGCTGGCACACACAAGGGCAGTGTCCCTAGGGGTGGCACGCCGTGCCCGGCCGTAGTAACGTGGGGGGCAGTAGGACAGGCAGGAGCCGTGGTGGGTGTACAGGGAGCTGCCACAGTCTGTGGAGAGAGGCTGGGGTGAGACCCTGGGGAGCAGAGCGTTGTCACTGTCCCCCCAGAGCCTCGCTCACCCTGGCAGGCTCCCTGCTCGTCCCTCCTGAGGCACTCGTCGGTGGCGGTGGCAGCGGAGCGCCTGGCTGGCATGTCCTCATCCGTGCCATGCAGGTGCAGGGTGAAGCTGTTCAGCTGGCCTGGGCACAGGAGGGACAGGGGGCTGCCAGGTGAGGGACAGGGGCTGGAAGCTTTGGGGTTGTGTCCTGCTCCTGGTCCTGTGCTGGCCGGGGAGACCCTCAAAGCCAAGAGAGGAGGGCTCATGGCCAGGAAGGAGAAGCCAACAAATTGCCCATCCAAGGGTGGGGGGAGGAAGAATGACCAAGCACAGGGTGACCCCAGTAAAAACGGGGCTCACCCCCCATGGGGCACCCACCTGTGTTTTGGGCATCACCCCTGTTCTCCAGCTGGAGGGTCCAGATCCCCTTGGGGTTCTCATCCCAGAAGTGAGTGGACATGAAGGTCCAGTCCTTGTAGCCGTCCTGGCTGGTGTCGTAGGGGCTGGAGGAGGAGAGCAGAGCTGGGAGTGCCAGCCCAGGGGCCTGCAGGGGCAGGCTGTGACCTGAAGGGTCACCCTGTGCTTGCTCTGAGGGAGCACTCCCATGTGGCAAAGATCCAGAGGAGTTTTGGGCCCAGTGAGCCCCTTTTTGGGAGTCTGCTGTGAGCGCCCCAGTGCTCCCTCTGTCCTTACCGCACTGTCACCAGCGTGGACGTGGTCCCCATGGGGCTGCTCAGAGCCACCACCAGGTCCCCCCTGCGGCTGTAGCTCAGGGACAGCTGCACCTGGACGTGCTCCAGGGAGCGGATGCTCTTGGAGCACGAGGAGACATCCGTGGAGATGGTGAGCTTGGACCCAATGTCCCTGCCGAGGACAAGCTGCAGGTGAGGGCGTTCCCTCCCCTGCCGTGGGGTCCCTGTGCCTGTGGTGGGCACAGCAAGTCCCCGTGGGAGGCTGGGCCTGGGGTCACTGTCCCTCACCTGGGGACCTGCACGGCCTGGACCGAACACTTCTCCTGGGGCCGAGTCCCTGTCCACGTGGTGGCCGCCTGCACCAGCAGCCCCGCGTCCAGCAGCCCGTAGCCGTAGTAGTGGCTCACTGGGACACAGGTGCCACCCAGAGAGGGACCCGTGAGTCCCTTGGTGCCACCAGGGGCTGCTGGGAGGTGTTTGAGGGGCCGAGCCCTGCACTCACCCCTGCGCCCAACGCCGTTCTCGGCCCAGTCCTCTGCCTGCAGGTGAGCGGGTTTGGAGGCCCTGATGATCAGGTGCTGCAGGTCACGCCAGGTCAGGGCTGGGCTGGAAGCAAGGAGGGCGTGGGGACATTTTTAAGGGGGGTTCATTTTTAAGGGGGAGATTTGGCTCTTCTGGAATGGGTAAAGCAACTGTCTGTGCCCAAGTTGATCCCCCCACAACCTCCTTCAGTGCCACAGTGGGAGCAGAGAGCTCCAGAGGGACAGCCCTCCTGCTGTCCCATGGCCTGGGGAAAGGCCACAACTCTGCACCCCAACCTTCCTGCTGCTCCTCCCCTTTCTCATCCCTGGGTAGTGTCCCTCTCAGTGTCACTTACTTGGCCTCCAGTGCCAGGGCCACCATGCCCGCGGCCAGCGGGGCCGAGGCGGAGGTGCCGGTGTGTTTGTCTGTGCAGCGGTGGTGCAGGTCAGTGGTCACCTGGGGGGACAGGAGGGTCTCAGGACTGTTTCCAAGAAAGCTGCCTGAGGTTGAGTACCTTCAGTAAATCCTCCTTTCAGGTCCCTTTGAGCTTTTGAGGCTCTACACAGACACCAAGCTCAGGAGGACTGGGACCAGCCCAGCCCGTGCTGGGCTCTGCGTCTGCCCCGGAGCTGCTGCTCTGCCAGAGCTGTTGTGGCACTCACAATCTGCACCTTGCTGGTGGTCCTGCTGCTGTAGGTGGTGGTGAGGATGGCAGGGCAGCTCTCGCTGTAGAGGGGCCGGTGCCCGTCCCCCAGCACGCTGCCCACCGACACCGTGTAGATGCTGTTGGTGTACCCATCGCAGTTGCAGTTGTCGTAGTTGGTGCCGCCGTTGCCTGAGGCCCAGATGAAGATGGAGCCGAGCCCGCCCCGTCCCTGTTGAGGAGCAGAGGGGGATGAGCAGGGTGTCCTCGAGTCCCTGCTGTCCCCGAGGCCAGGGCTGGGCTTACTTGGACGACTCCTCTGTGGAAAGCGGCCGCAGCCAGGACTCCGGGCCCGTCCACCGTCCTGCCATCGTCCTCGGGGCCCCAGCTGGCGCTGTAGATGTGGATGTACTGGGGCTGCAGGCTCAGCGCCTGGGCCTCCACGATGTCCATGATGGAGCCGTCCAGCATCCTCACACCTGAGGGCAGGCAGCCGTGGCCGAGAGGCAGCAGCACGCGGAGAGGCTGAGGTGGCTCCGAGGGGACAGGAGCCACGCACGTGCCACACCGAGGGCAGGGCCTGGGGACACCTTGCCAGGCCCCCCCTCGGCCTCCCAGAGCTTTGAGGAGCTTTCACATGCCCCTGCCCTAAGGAGATCAGTCCCCCACGGGTCTGTGCCCTGCCATGAGCCCTTCCCAAAGCTCCTCGTTAAGCCTTTTGTAATTAAGCCCAGGGAGTGCTCCCAGCTTTTAACCCCCTTTGCCACCCTCACTTCCACGGCAGAGCCTGAGCCTGCCCTGCTGGGTGTTGGGCTGAGCATCAAACCCTCCGGGGCAGCACCCACCCTGGCCACCCCAGAGCACCCCCCTGGGCTCCTGCATCCCCACAGGGGCTGCAGCTGATTTCCAGCTTCCCTGCTGTGGGAGGAACCTCTCACCTCCGATTTTGGCGTTGTAGGCGACGCCTGCACCACAGATCCCATTGTTGGCCACAGCTGCCACTTCCCCTGCGCAGCGTGTCCCGTGCCTGGGGGCACAGAGTGACCCTGTGAGGGGTGGGGGGCCTGGGACAGCCCCGGCCCCCCCAGAGCTGACCCCCCCCAGTGTGGGGAGCTGGGCAGGACCCACCAGTTCTTGTCGCTGTCGCTGTATCGGGGCTGGGGATCGGGGTCGTTGCTGTTGAAGTCGTAACTTGCCAGCGGGTCCTGTTACAGAGCGAGGTGGCAGCGTGAGCCCAAGGGCCCGGGCAGGGCTGTGACAGCTTGGCACAGGCGCCTGGCACCGAGCCTGGCGCTGGCACTGCCTGCCAGCTCTGGGGACAGCGGGGCCCCTTCGTGCCCAGCTGCCCTGGGAGCTGGAGCTAAACCGAGTCCTGAGAGGGAAGGGAGCGCCAGGAGGGCTGAGGGAGCTGGGAAGGGGCTCAGCCTGGAGCAAAGGAGGCTCAGGGGGGACCTTGTGGCTCTGCACAACTCCCTGGCAGGAGGGGACAGCCAGGGGAATTGGGCTCTGCTCCCAGGGGACAACAGGACAAGAGGGAACAGCCTCAGGCTGTGCCAGGTGGGACAGCAGCAGGAATTTCCCCATGGAAAGGGTGGTCAGGGGCTGCCCAGGGAGGTTTGGAGTGCCCAGCCCTGGAAGGGCTGGAGGTGGCACTCGGTGCTCTGCGCTGGTGACAAGGTGGGCACAGGTTGCACTCGATGATCCTGAAGCCCTTTTCCAACCTCGGTGACCCTGGGGTTCTGCACAAAGGGGTGGAAACAGCACAGCAGACAGAGCCCAGCATGCCAGCCA